AACCCTTCAAAAAAGTTGTCATCGTCCAATGAACATAATCGTTACAAAGACATTGCATTAGAGTGTACGATTTACATATAAAGAACCCGTATAAATAGTTCTACAGTTTTTACTATTTATAAAGTTTGTTGTATGTAAATGGGACAAGAAAAAGGTTTAAGCGTTTTGGGGTGGGATTTAAGATAATGTATAAAACGGGATTTTTAAAAATGTCTCAGTATCAAAGGTGCTCATAGTAACGACGAAGTTTGTCATCTTTTTATACAGTTGCTGCTACGTTTATTATCTATGTGATTTATCGAACAGTTGAAGTTTGTACATTTAATTCTAATAATTCTTTTGTCGCAAGAAAAATACTTTCACGGTACTACAATCTGTCGATACCTATAGTTTGACATTGCACAAGGTCATGTTTTTCTCTGACTGTTAATGACGTCCTTACACTAAATCCATTGGATGTTGGATGTGTACTGATTGATATTTTAGTCTTAGATACATGATTTGTTTTATTTGTTATCGGCTTTGAACTATCTGCCAGTAACTGCGAGTACTCTCAGATCTGTACTTAGTGTCTTTTTGTTGTGGAGATGTATAAGTACCCGTCCACGTCCACTCTGTGTTTTTAATAGATGTACATGTATTCCTATTTGTATCCATCTGATGAGTTAAGACTATTTCAACTGATTTTTATAGTTTGTTCTTATGTTCTACTGTTACATCACTGTCCCAGGTTATAGGGAGGGTTGAGCGCTCACAACCATGTTTAAACCCGCCACATTATGTATGTGCCTGTCCCAAGTCAGGAGCCTGTAATTCAGTTGTTGTCGTTTGTTTCTGTGTATCATATTTTTTTTTTCATTCATTATTTTGTACATAAATTAGACCGTAAGTTTTCTCGTTTGAATTGTTTTATGTTTGTCATTTCGGGCCCTGTTATAGCTGACTATGCGGTATGGGTTTTGTTCATTGTTGACGGCCGTACGGTGACCTTATTGTCGTTAGTTTCTGTGTCATTTGGTCTCGTGCGGAGAGTTGTCTCGTTGGCAATTATACCACATCTTCTTTTTTTTATATATACTTGTATATATACTTAAGATGAGCAGGTTGTGGGAGAATTCAACCGTAATTCAGGTTCGGCTAGTTTCCTGGAAAATATCTACCAGCGATCAATAGTAGAAAATGCTAATGTAAATAGAATAGTTACGATAAAAACAGAATGGTCACTTATGAGTCTGAATGTCCCTCTGGTATCTTTCGCCTCTTCTTTGAAAGCAGAACAGTCAGGACGTGAAAGCAGAATAATCATGTGAGAGCAGAATGATCACGTGGAAGTATAGTCACCTGACTGCCCTGACTGACCTGACTGACCAAGAAAAGTATCATGTCAAGACAATACGGATAACAAATAATAAATAAAAACAACTAATGCACACTACACATAACAAAATAAAACACGCAATTGATAAATTAGTGTACTATGTTTTTATGGAATAAAACAAAAATCAGCTATCCTTAACTAATCTGTGATTAAGACTATTTAATCCATGTACCGATATATAGTTTACAATAAAAGTATGATATGGTATAAACAACAAAGCCTAAACTTATTTCTGTGCATTTTGTAATTACTAATGATGTATGTATGCGCCTGTGCCAAGTCAGGAGCCTGTAATTCAGTGGTTGTCGTTTGTTTATGTGTTACATATTTGTTTTTCGTTCATTTTTTGTACATAAATTAGGCCGTTAGTGTTCTCGTTTGAATTATTTTACATTGTCATTTCGGGGTCTTTTATAGCTGACTGTGCGGTATGGGCTTTGCTCATTGTTGAAGGCCGTACGGTGACCTATAGTTGTTAAGTTCTGTGTCATTTGGTCTCTTGTGGAGAGTTGTCTCATTGGCAATCATACCACATCTTCTTTTTTATAGATGTGGTATGATTGCCAATGAGACAACTATCCACCAAAGAACGTTGAATGAAAATGTACTTATTTTCAACGAACGGTGTCTCACATTCAGTTGATAGTTGAAAATAAATGATCAAAGTAATTAAGTCATTTCTGTTGATAATAATCAAATTGAAGAATCTGATGTATACCCATTTGGTGCATGAGTTATATATATATATATATACAAAACAATTTATGATGTAATATGAAATATGTCCCACATATGTCTTTGCAAAATCAATAAACAAGAGGGTCTGGATGGGGTTCCCTTATTTCTTCATTCTTTAATATTTTGGAATTTTTTTCTGTATTTTTTGCTATTATTCTCCATTCTTTGTATTTTAGCACCCCTTTCTACTCTATTTTTTCTTTATTTTTTTTTTGTCGATTTTTTGCTATTTTGTATTTGTTTTGCCCTTTATTCTGCACTTTTTACACATTATTCTCTATTGTGTAAACCCCATCTAGACCCTTATACACTTCTCGGTGACATTATTGCTAGCTATTCTTTGAAAGAATACCTACTTGAAAAAACAAGGAAAATTGATGACTAGTGAAGTGTGTAATATTTTTTATTTTCCAAAATTCACATTGTTTTCTTCACGTTTGAATAATTGCTCAATTCCGTTTGCAAATGAAATCAATTATGTTACATTGTTGTTGTGTTGTATTGTTCGGTTTTACTCATACCTTTGGTTCAGAGAAAATGTTCTTACATGTGAAATTGGACTATTGACATACAGTTGTATTTTAATTTTTCTTAAGCATCGTTGTAGCGCATTATTGTTTGAAGTTTTTGTTGTTTTTGTTTTCTAATCTTGTTTCGTTTAAACACGTTTTGGTGTGTTGTTTGGAGAAGATGTCGGTTTTTAGTGATATCTTTTGACCAGTGACCAATTTGCCCGGTACACAAATATAGTCCCTTGTATGGACAGTGTATTACTTACAAATAAAATTTCGAACACCTTCCCAATTTATTTCTTCATTTGTTATGCATAAAATAGCAAGTAGGGTTGAAATTACACTGAAAAAATGGTGTCATGAATTTTAAGGTAAAGTAGTGATTTGGTCAAGTTGAAAAATGTCAAAATGCGTACGCTTGAAGCTGTTGAATTTTTACATAAAATTGTCCATATTTAGAGTTAGAGCCGATGAAGTTTTCTATAATTTGGTTATAATTTGTCCTCAACGTAGCACACTACACTGTAAAAGTATTTTTTACTTTGAATGTAATGTTCTAAAAAATGCACTACAGATCAATTGATTGGTTAAATGGGGAACGGAAGTATTGATCCGAATTAGATGACGGGAATGTCATCGTGAAATATTTTTCTCTTCAAAGTATTTCCCAGATATTCCAAACTTAATAGTTAAACATGATCATAACAAACCATACTGTGTAAGATTGTTTCTGGATACAAATGCATACTGATTAATATAATATGGTAGTTAGAGATGCGATATACATGATGGGTTTATTGTTTTTTTGCATAGTTGACAGAATAATTATATATACAGACTACATGTATAAAGGTGCTACACTCTGTGTTTTTAATAGATGTACATGTATTCCTATTTGTATCCATCTGATGAGTTAAGACTATTTCAACTGATTTTTATAGTTTGTTCTTATGTTCTACTGTTACATCACTGTCCCAGGTTAAAGGGAGGGTTGAGCGCTCACAACCATGTTTAAACCCGCCACATTATGTATGTGCCTGTCCCAAGTCAGGAGCCTGTAATTCAGTTGTTGACGTTTGTTTCTGTGTATCCTATTTTTTTTTCATTCATTATTTTGTACATAAATTAGACCGTAAGTTTTCTCGTTTGAATTGTTTTATGTTTGTCATTTCGGGCCCTGTTATAGCTGACTATGCGGTATGGGTTTTGTTCATTGTTGACGGCCGTACGGTGACCTTATTGTCGTTAGTTTCTGTGTCATTTGGTCTCGTGCGGAGAGTTGTCTCGTTGGCAATTATACCACATCTTCTTTTTTTTATATATACTTGTATATATACTTAAGATGAGCAGGTTGTGGGAGAATTCAACCGTAATTCAGGTTCGGCTAGTTTCCTGGAAAATATCTACCAGCGATCAATAGTAGAAAATGCTAATGTAAATAGAATAGTTACGATAAAAACAGAATGGTCACTTATGAGTTTGAATGTCCCTCTGGTATCTTTCGCCTCTTCTTTGAAAGCAGAACAGTCAGGACGTGAAAGCAGAATAATCATGTGAGAGCAGAATGATCACTTGGAAGTATAGTCACCTGACTGCCCTGACTGACCAAGAAAAGTATCATGTCAAGACAATACGGATAACAAATAATAAATAAAAACAACTAATGCACACTACACATAACAAAATAAAACACGCAATTGATAAATTAATGTACTATGTTTTTATGGAATAAAACAAAAATCAGCTATCCTTAACTAATCTGTGATTAAGACTATTTAATCCATGTACCGATATATAGTTTACAATAAAAGTATGATATGGTATAAACAACAAAGCCTAAACTTATTTCTGTGCATTTTGTAATTACTAATGATGTATGTATGCGCCTGTGCCAAGTCAGGAGCCTGTAATTCAGTGGTTGTCGTTTGTTTATGTGTTACATATTTGTTTTTCGTTCATTTTTTGTACATAAATTAGGCCGTTAGTGTTCTCGTTTGAATTGTTTTACATTGTCATTTCGGGGTCTTTTATAGCTGACTGTGCGGTATGGGCTTTGCTGATTAATATAATATGGTAGTTAGAGATGCGATATACATGATGGGTTTATTGTTTTTTTGCATAGTTGACAGAATAATTATATATACAGACTACATGTATAAAGGTGCTACACTTTGCTTTTTTTATATGTACTGTGACTTTAAATGCGCATATTAAACCATAATTTATTGGCCTTTTGTTTTATTTGTGGTACAAAGACGTATCTGTGGGGGTACGCACTCGCCTTTTCCAAGATTTTAAAATCATGTTAAATCGGCAAAATATAGCCTTCAATTTTCCTTTTTATCCAAGCATAAACCTTAAGAAAACACATCAAATGCAGCATGGCTATATTATATTGTCAAAATGTGTTTACAGTATCTTGTTACTCATATTATCACATATATCATTGATGCATTCGATACAATGTCTTTGCACATACCGTTTTCTTGTACAATTTCAAGCATTCCTTTCGGAAAGTTTTGTCAATGAGACAAAAGACAATAGGATTAGATGCATTGTTTATAAAATACGCACGTAAAAGGATCGCAGTTGCTGGTCGGATACTATTTTCATACAATCTAGGATTTGTAATTTTTACCAATATTGTGAACACATAAATTAAATATCCTGCATACGAAACTGTAGTTGCTACTATAAGGCTTATAGTTAGTTGTCTCCCTTTCTCGTATTTGCTGCCTTTTTTTGACGACTTATCTTTCGATTTGCCAGTCACCTCCGTTTGGACATTTCTCAGTTCCAATTCACTATTATTAATTGTTGAGATAGCTTGTGTATTAACTGAATTCACGTCGGACGTGGACTCATTTATATGATAGTGGTTTTGTTTTTCTTTTCGTTTTTTCTCTTTTTTCATCTGAGTACATATCATGTATAATATTTTCCCATATATAACCACACATACAATGACGCAAATAGTACTGAGAAGAATAACTACACCGGAGTATGAAACAGCAGTACGTAAATTCTGATACTCCGATAAAATAGTGCAGTCTGTACCCGTCAAACCAAAAATGTTAGTTTCTTTTTCATTCAAACCATAAAAAACAAAAGCTGGAATTGACAATACCACAGCAACTCCAATTATTATACCTGATATAATATTTATCCAAGTCTCGGGTTTTCTCGTTTGCCGATGCAGCTGTTTGGTGTTAATCCGAAATCTTTCAATGGCAATGGCGGTTAGAAGTCCACCGGAAGCCAAAGTGACGACGTGATTCAAGAATCGAAAGAATTTACAAGCACCGACTGACGAAAAGGTATAGCTGTACCGGATGTCAAAAATCTCAAAAGGCATACAAAACAAACACGCTGTAAGATCTGTAAAGGCAAGCCAAAGGATGAAAACTCGTACCGCTAGTTTTGCCATTACCGGCGAAGAAAGATATACTAAGATCGTATGTATATTGCCTACACTTCCAATGATTGAGAGAAGTATTAGAAAGACTGTAGCTGGAATGTCTTTCTCCAAAAATTGCTGATAATCAATATCATCCAAACTGATTAGAGTTTCGTTCGTTGAGTTTGATTCCATGCTGAAAATAACAAATAAAATTTTGATTATAACAATTTAAAATAAAAGATCCGTTTAGAGTTTAAATTATTTTCGTTGTTTTCACTTCGATATTTTTGTCACAATACACATCTCAATCATACCACATCTGGTTATCTTTATAAGCACAAATAGATAAAAATTGCCATAGATATATTGTTATACGAAATATAAATGTGAACAAAACAATTGTAAACATATTTATAAATATTTCTATATATGTAGCAAAAACTAAATATTCAAGTTGATTATCAAAAAACCTTTACATGAACCTTCTAGACCCTTAAGCTTCAAATGGTTTTGAGGCTAAGTTGGTCTTTATAATTCACATTAGATATAGCCAACGACAATAAAATGAGGCCCCTCATGGGGGGTTTCCAAGTAATCACATAATCACAATTTTTGCTAATATAATCACAAAATCATTAATTATCTTTTTAAACAAGATAATCAAATAATAAAAAAATACAGTCCTAGATTATCAAATAATCATGAAATATTTGGTCTGGTCATCAAATAATCACTATAAAAACGGCCAAGTAATCACATAATCAAAAACCCCATGAGGAGGCTCTAAAATAGGGGTTAATGTCTTGGACTTAAAGGGAAGCTTTAGTCAGTTTACGCTAAAACTAAGGTTGTATCTCCGACAGGCAAAGTTGACCCGAAAAGGTTTTGACTGTTCCTCTTATGCTTTCAGAAGTTTTATATAATTGGTGTTCAAATCTTTGTTTATCTCGAGCAAACATGATGAATATTTTTACGGTACCATTATTCCAGACTCATGGACATCGGTATAATCCTTTTTTTTATAAACGAGTCGGCACCGTTGCTTGGGGTTAATCAGTCACCGAAGATATCCATGATACCTTGCGCCAAGTAGTCAGATTCTCCGAACTGGTCTTTTTCAAATGATACATTTTGTTTCAATATTCTAGTCTATGAACTAATAAATAGTCCTTTGACAAAGGTTACAACTGTCTTAGGGTAAGTTGACTTTTTGTGGAGTTTTTTTATGTTTTTGTGGCTATTTTTGGTTGCATGGTCTCTTAAAAACGTCCTGTCTCGAGCATATCCGATGAAATTTATTCTAGAAACATCCGTCATGCGTATAGAAATCGTTATCATACGTTCGTTTTTCTAGTTGTTTTTTTTTTTACGTTTCCAAAATTAAAACGAAATAATGGCAAATGGATTGAAGGATATCAGCAAACTAATTTTGTTTCAAATGCTGCGGTTGCAAAAAAAATGTTTTTGCTTCTATTTATTTAGTTATTCATTCATTCATTCATTCATTCATTCATTCATTCATTCATTCATTCATTCATTCATTCACTTACTTATCTATTTATTCACCTAATCATTCATTGATATATTTTCATTTAATCAAAAGTTCCAAAATAAAATAATCGGAAGAACTGAACAACTCGTATATTTTCTCTACTTACATCTTACAAGAAACAGGATATAAAAAATTGACGTCGAATTTCGTTTGTTTTAATTTATAATAAAAAAAACTGTCATATGACCATGGCAATCCTTAAGTTATTATGTCTAAAAGGTATTAAAATTATACAATCAACGGATTAAAATTGATTCATTTCGTTAATGAGGTCATCTTTTATATAACTTATAAAAATAATGTATCTTAAAATAGGCCATATTAATTGTAAGATTTCATATGGTTGCTTCACAACAATTTATTTTTGGAGATAAGTTTCATCATGCTTCGATACGCCTCGGCGTTCTCGTGATCGCGTGCTCGCCTCGAGTGTTGTAGGTCGACCGCGTCCAACCAGAGACTAAATTTGGCATTTGCTGTTTCTCTGCTTAGCATTAAGGGGTAATTAGGGTTAAGAAAAAATCAGCCTGCTCGCTGGTTAGTTTCTACAAATGTGAAAGTCTGCATCTACTGGTACATGCAATATATTTTTTAGTTACCAGTTACAGGCTAGTTTTTCAGCTACTCGCTACAGCCTAGCTCCAGTCGAAGTAATGTGTTCACTATTTCTAAACTGGTCTAAATGAAAAACTGAAAGAATATATAAATGACTTATTCAAAATCATTAAGCTTTAATGTGGTTTTGCGATTTTTTAGTTAAACTTTAGGGATCGTGGAAAAGTCGATATTGACGAAAAGTATAATTGTAAGTTTAATAAGGTTTAACGCCATTTTTCAGAACACTTTCATGGTGGTCAGATTTTATTATGGAGGACAGTTCAGTGCTAGGGACTTTTCTTATATCTTATAATATAAACAGTCAAATTCCTTTCTTAAACATTTTATGCGCATTTTTTCAATTTCCAGTTATTTTTGTAAAAAACAACATGTATTAGGCAATTCAAAAAAGATCAAAAGTTAGGTTAGTTAGGAACCCGACAAGCTAACATACAGACGTCGAATTTATGCTTACGGAAACCCGTAGTGAACAAATTTTCTATAGCAGACTTATCATATGATTGATATATATATTGGTGATACAATTTAACTTAAACTAATATAACATTTGAAATTTTAATTGGTGTTTTGATGACAGACTGTAAGTCTTTCTCATAAACATTTGTTACACCAGTGTCGTCCAACATGAGGGTTTGGATAGGGTGTCTTTCATTTCTGTATTCTTTAATTTTTTAGGTCATTTTTCTCTTTTCTTTATATTTGTGCCCATTATTATCTATGCTTTATTTTTTGGCATATTTTTCTCTATTCTTTATTTTTATAGCCCATTTTTCTGCAGTATTGGTTCATTATTCTCTATTCTGTAAACACCATCCTGATAAATGCTGTAAGATATTTATCCCATAAAGTCACATGATCTTATTTATTGTAAGCTTTTAACAATTTTATCAATGATATTACGTGTCATAATAAAACATAAACAGGAAATAAAAGATGTAGTGATAAGATATACTACACGTACTTCCGATGATTTACTATACTAGTCAACTAAAGAAACGATACACGGCAATTGTATTTTTCATATGTAAGGAAATTGGATACTTGGTACGAAGCTAAAATTGTCCCAATTGGTCTAATATTTACAGTGTAGTATTCTTATCAAAACCTTTGATTTAAGGAAAAATGGGGAAAAATTGGGTGCAAGAATATAAAATAATAGAGAAAAATGGCTTAAAAAATTAAAGAGTACAGAAATGAAGGACCCCCCATCAAGACCCTTATATATACTTTCATGTATACTTATTTACACTTATTACAGATATCAATTTATCTCGCAAGTATATTTACATACATTTTGTACATGGCTAAAAGGTAAGGTGTGTTATACTTCAGAAGTGATTTTTTTGTCATTACACACATCATTAAACATTACCTAAAGCGTTATGGTATAAAAAGAACCAGTTTATAATACGTACAATTATTGATTTGTTATGCATTCATGCATGACTCCTAAACATGCTTTCTAATTTCTTACGTTATTTTGTAACAAAACTGCGTTCCGTTGAGTGTATTCAGTTAAGTAATGTTTTTGCATAATGAGAAATAAAATTCGAATGTCTTGTTTGTAATATAGATCACCCTCGTTTCGTTTTGCAACACATCTTCTCATTTTTTATTTACCCAAATATTCAAAACATCGTCGAAACTTGTAGTTTTCAATGTAAAGTTGGTTTGTGTACTTCATCAACTGTGTTTAAGTCCGTTCTCAGCGTCTGTTTTCATTTATCTCCATTTTGTATTGATCTAGTGTTGCCACTAAGGATTTACAATGTCTAGCACCTTCTGAACTTTTCACCGAGATAATTGTCTAGACAATTTTCTCAACCCCCACCATTCCCCTTTCCCTCATTTATCAACGTTGTAAGATTGAAGAAAAGATTCTTCATATTTAAAACATTTAACGAGCTGCATTGAAAAATTTTGAATGGGTATATTATGCCAAAATGTTTAAATTTTGAGAAAGATATCTTAATAATAAAAGGCGAATATAGATTAGTTTGTATTTATGAAGATGCTTCAAAAGTTTTTGTTAAATCTGGGTCCAAGATTTATTCAATTATATTTTTGAGGTCTAATTTGACGGAACCAGAATTCATTTCCATGCATATGATTGAAAATCATACGTACTCACCCACTTTTTGATCGCCAAAAAAAATTATCATATTTTTTTTTTCATAATATATGAAAATTTTCACTACAAAATTGTCTATTTTTTTTCATTGATGTACATTTGTATATCTTTAACTATCGAGAATTACCCCCTCCCCCCTTTTCAAAAGTCCTGGATCCGCTCCTGTGGTTCTAATAATGCTGAAGAAAAGCTTGCATAACATACCTTACAATGGAATAGATCCAGCTATAATTCTAGCTATAGGAAGAAACAGTTTTATAATCATTTTCCTAGTTTGAATTGTTTGGTGAATTTTCCAAAAGATAACAATATCTTGTAAGGTTAAAGAGCGACTTCCGATCTACTTAGAACGTAATTATAAATATAGATGCATGTAAGTTGTTTTGTTTTATTGTGTACAGGTAAGTTGTGATGTTATCGTAGCGTGGGGTGTGTTATATATTTGTCCATACAAGCCTCAAGATGTCTTTTTGTGTTGTTGCGTCGCTGTTGTTTTTTCTTTACGAAAACGATTGTTTGTCAGAATTTTATTTGTACGTATTATTCTTGGATGTGTTCACGACAAGGGTTTTGCTCATTGTTGAAGGCCGTACGGTAGCCTAAAGTTGCTAACTTCTACATCGTTTGGTCTCTGGTTGAGAGTTATCTCATTTGGCAATCATACCACATTTTGTTACTTTTATAAAGACAAGGCGAAATGGTCATGTAAGAATTATACTGTCGCCAGTTCTACAAGAATTATACTAAAACTTGTAGAGGCTTCATGTATGGGGGTCTAAATGGGAATTACAGAATAGAAAACAATGGACAAAAGATAAAGAATGGAGAAAAAAACGGACAAAAGAAATACAGATTAGGAAATAATGGGGATATAATTTATTAAGAACATTTT